TATTATATATTTTATTTATTGTTTATATTTATTTGAGACCTATAATATTAATTATATCTGTTTATTTAATAATATGTAAAAATTATATACAATTAATACATGTGTAGCCATCTTTAAAAATAAAAGTAAAAAAAAAATATTAGAATTCTCAAAAAAGAAAAAAAGTTTGAATTCCCAAAAAAAATGCAGTAGGCTTCTTGGAGAAGCTTTGAAAAAGTTAACGGAAAGATAACGGAGAAATGGACGGAAGTGACGGACGGTAAGCCCAACAAACGGAAGTTACAAAAAGGGGCTATTTTCTTCCATTTTTATAGGTTAGGGGTTAAAACCGTTATGTTATAAGGTGAGGGGCTAAAACCGTCTAACTTATCAAGGTAAGGGGCTATTCTTAGGCTTTTGCCCCCCTTTCTTTCCCACAGATGTTTTGCTCCATTTCCCTCTTCCCTCTCTTCTTCTTCTTCTTTATTTTTTGTCTATATAGATATTGACATAGAAACAAAATCAACAAATATCTTCTCATCTCATCTTCTCCTACCTCTCTCCTCTCCTCCTTCCTTTCCCATAGATGTTTTGCTCCATTTCCCTCTTCCCTCTCTTATGCTTCTTCTTCTTCTTCTCCTTCTCCCTTTCATTTTTATTTTCTTTCTTCTTTCATCTTTTCCCTTTCCTTCTACCTTTCTAATTCTTGCATTGCATGTCTTCATCTTTTCCTTTTGTTTCTACTTTTCTTTGATCATTCCTTCTACCTTTCCTATTTTCATTTTTGGTTGCCATCCTTCTACTTCTCCTTCATTTTCTTTCATTCTTTCATCTCAAGGTTTTTATTTTCTTTTTATTTTTTTTTTGTTATTTTCACTTATCATCCAATTACTTTTATTTGATCTACTAATAATTTTTTATTTATTTTTGCAAATTATTAAGCTTAAAATCTTTTTGTGAGGTAAATTCACATTTTGATTTATATTTTTCATTTCCTTTTACTTGAATAAAATTTTATAATGTATAACAATCTTTTTCCTTTTTCTTTTTACAGATATTTTTATTTCATTATAGGCAAATTACTTGTCATTTATCTTGTTTTTCCATTATTTCTCATGGTATTTGAATATTGTTCTTGTTTTTCAATTATTCTCAAAATTATTTTATATATATTGTTGTTGCACTTAATTGATTTTATCATTAAATTTTGTTTGTTGACTTTATAATTTAATTAATAATTAAAAAATTAAAAATTTAATTCTACATTTTTTTAATTCTAAATTTTTTGTTTATTGTTTGAACAAATATAATCGGTAATTTTTTCTGTCAATTATACTTATTTTTGCCTCTTGTTTATTCGACAAATTTTCCTATCGGTTATATCTATTGATTATATTTAGAATTTCTCTTATAATTGACAAAAAATTGTCGTTTAAACCTTGTTTTTTAGTGGTGAAAATTTACTTGTACTTACTACTCAATTTATGAGTTTTCTCCTTCATTTTCACAATATCATTTTCTTCTTCCGATGTGCATCTTCATCATTTTCTTCTTTTTATACGTCCCTATGTATGGACAAAATTTTGATTGAAATAAAAATTCTATAAAAACAAGGTTGTTCATGTAGGATATTAAAATATATTTTAATGAATTCTATAAAAAAATTTAGTTTAAATTTTAAATTTAAACATTTTTTCTTCTTTGCTTGTGATCTATTTGTCTATTTTGTTAATTATATATATT